CATCTTTGGCATTCATCTGTCCATACACAATACAGATGTATCTATACACAGTTTTCTAGGAAAAAGGAGATTGTATTATATATGCCGGCAAATTTGGAATTCTATACTCAGGTCCTACATAATGCTAATCAGTAAAAGCCTGAATAATTGAAAATGCAAAGAGATCCTTTACAAGCAACCTGTTCTTTGGGCCTCCCTGCTGGCACAAGGGGTGAAGTCTCAGCTCTATAAAGCTATCCACAGCCACTGCAGCAGGAGTTTGACCCCCAGCCAACCCACATGGTGCAGCAGACCTCTCCTGACCCGCCAACTACTTCCCTCAGCAGTGTATTTTAGTCCATCTGCCTGTTCTGCTCCCCAGTCTCTGATGAATCCTCTCACCCTCCCACTCCCAACCTTTGGACCACACCCCAGCTCTGGTATGCATAAATAAGTCTTAAAAAAAAACTTATTTAAAAGGGATAGGGGTATGGGGGGGAAGATAAATGTAATAGAGTAAAAATAAAAACAATGAACAACTATAAACCAGACATTTTATAGGGGGTAAAAGGGGGAATGGGATCAGAACTGGGGTGGGAAGAGTGCACTGGATTATGGTGATGCCACACCGGTGGATTGGTGGTGGGATGCCCACAGGGATTACAATTGAGATGAAAAAAATGCAAAAATGAAAAATGATGTTAAAAAATATGTAATAATAAAGAATAAAAATAAAAAAGTATCCCACAGATACACTTGTCAGTATTTTTTTTTTTATAATTTGGCCTCTCTTTTTTTTTTAGATTTATTTATTCATACAGAACTGGGGTACAGGCCAGAGGTGTGGAAGGTGAGAGCATTCACTAGAGACAGAGTGGGGTGCAGAACAGGCAGACTGACAAAGTACACTGCTGAGGGGAGCAGCTCCTGAGGCAGGAGAGGTCTCCCATGCCATGTATGTCACCTCCCAGGCAGGGATCGAACTCACACTGAAGTGCTGCAGCTAGCTTTGCAGTGCTCCACCTTAACCCACTGTGCCACCAGGGAGGGCCCTATAATTAGTGTTTTATTTATATCTTTTACATCACTGTGTATCCCCCAATGTCAGTTTATTTAACATGTAACATCTTTACCTATAATCACTTCAAATAAAATTAGGAAAATATCCGTTTTCTACCAAAACTCTAGTTCCCTTCTATTTCTATTCTCTTTAGTTATATATAAAATGTTTTTGTAGCTATGGCTTGGTATCACAAACCAGAATACCAAAGAATCTATCAAAGTGTTTTATTACTATCATGACAAAGGTATCAATCATCAATCACCTTTGGCATTTATCTCAGAAATTCTCACCTACAATAAAAAGGACACATGTGGAGGACAGACCAAAACAAAAGAAGTGTATTTTACTGTGATATGGTCAGGCATTATTATGCACTTTACATCTGTTATTACAAGGAATTCTCAGAGTTATGTCCTAAATACCCTATTTTAGAGATGAGGTCAAAATAGAGTGAGAATAAGTAAAGCATCCAATGTTACAGTTAGTAAATACTCCATACTCTCTCAAACCACAATCAAGCCAAGTGTTTCTGCTTTAGAACTCTCCCAAATAACTGCTACCTTCATTATTAATTCCAACTAATATTTGTAAATTCTCCAGAAATTCCAACACCAGACAGACTCAAGAGCAGAAGCACCAAATGATCTCAAATACGTTGGCCTCAGGACCTGTTTACGCTCTTAAACTCAAGAGTTTCAATTTATGTGGATTATATCTTTTGATATTTACGATATTAGAAAGTAAAACAAAAAGTCAAATCTTATCAATACATTAAAAAACAGCAGGCCCTCCCTGGTGGTGCAGTGGGTTAAAGCACTAAGAAACCAAAGTCACTTTAGTATGAGTTCGATCCCTGTCCCGGAGGTGACCCACATGGCGCATCAG